GGGGGGGGGGTCCTGTGCTGGGCCAGAGGGATGATTTTTTTCCTCTTGATACCCTCCTCAGCCAGGAGTGCTAGTGCTCTGGCTAGGGAACAGAGGGGCAAGGCAGACCCTGCTCTGCTGGAGCAGACAGCATAGCCCAGGGCTGCAAAACATCCTGGGATACTGGGGGACTGTGAGTTAACTTGAACTGGGAAGGGATCTGAGACAGAAGTTCCATAAACCGGTTTGACCTAAATTAGTTTATTCGGATACTGCATCCAACAAGGTTTATCTTAAAACAGCATTGGCCATTTTGAAAGGGTCCAGAGGAGGGCCACTCGTATGATCAAGGGACAGCAGGGTAGGTCCTATGAGGAAAGGTTGCGGGACCTGAACCTGTTCAGCCTTCAAAAGAGAAGGCTGAGGGGGGATCTTGTGGCCTGTTATAAACTGGTTAGGGGGGATCAGCAGGCGCTGGGGGAGTCCCTGTTCCCCCGAGCGCCGCAAGGAGTGACCAGGAACAATGGTCACAAGCTGGCGGAGGGAAGGTTTAAGTTGGACATCAGGAGGCGCTACTTCACGGTCAGGGCGGCTAGGGTCTGGAACCAGCTTCCAAGTGAGGTGGTGCAGGCTCCCACCCTGGGGGTTTTTAAGAGGAGGTTGGATGACCACCTTACTGGGGTCATTTGACCCCAGTGCTCTTCCTGCCATGGCAGGGGGGCGGACTAGATGATCTGCTCAGGTCCCTTCCGACCCTAGAAACTATGAGACTATGAAAGTGGCTTAAGTGCACCGAACTTCTGTTCTGTTACAGGTTTAAATCTGTTTCTGATCACTTAAACCAGTTTATGTGTAATTTGTGTCCCCAGCCTAAGGAGTGGGATAGCAGTCTTTAAAAACCTGAAAGGTTGCCATAAAGAAGAGAGAGAACAACTTTTGTTCCCTGATGCAGGGGGCAGGACATAAAACTGTGGCTTCAAACTAAAGCAAAGTAGATATAGATTGGATATTAGGAAAAAGTATTTGTTATTAGAACACCAAAGGAGTGGAATAGTCCACTTCAAGCTTTGTTCAGATATAATTTAGCAGTATTTCTGCATTCATGCAGCAGGTTGGACCAGATGATCCTCAAGATCCCTTTCAATCCTATGATTCTGTGAAAAGGGAAAATTATCAAATTTGCAACATGTTCATTAGTTACACTTATTTAAAAAAAAAGGTTCTTATAGTTGTTTTAAATGGTTGATTGGATGGGATCCCCAGTATTTAGTGTTTAGAAAAGGAAATAGCTTACCTCTAGGCTTGCATGAAAGGGCAGTGGTATTTGTGAGAACACTTTAATCTCTTATGGCGTGGTAGAGTATGTCCTGCAATACAAGTGTAGGTAGCAGGACCTTGCTCAAACTGTACAGAAGGAGTTTCTGTTGCAAGGAACCAAGTTATTTCTAAAAATAGTTTAACATATAAATATCAGAAAACAATTGGATAATTTCTGGGCCATAATACAATGAGTTCTGATCAGATTGAAAGAAAAATTTTGTAAGATGCTATATATATATATATATATATATATATATATATATTACTATAGTAATATGTATTACTATACTATAGTAATACATATTACTATATATATATAGTATCTCAGGTAAATATATATTGTAACTCTAATGATTGTAACCCTTTAACTTAAAGTGCCTGTTAAATAAAGCTTTTTCAGTTAAGCAAGCTTGCAAATTGTTCCTTGCCTCACAAGCTGAGGATAAAAGAGAACAAGCTGGAGATGCAGAGTGAAGAAAGTGCCTATTTCTCTCTGCTCCTTACCAGCAAAATCCTGAGGTAGGCAGTTGCTTCCATTTTTTTTCCTGATTTCTCCACATAAGCCCTGTAGCTGTCATCTAAGCAACAGCAGGGATGATTCATAGAGTGCAGTGCTCAGTCCCTGCTGCCCTCCAGTGTGTAAGGGAGAGATTGCAGCTAGAAATGGAACAAATACACGAAGTTATAACTTACCAAAAAAGGGTGTGTGTAGACGAAATGGGGGACCTAAATTGAAGTGGTGGGTTTTAAAAAACACCACTTCAATTTAGGGCTGCTTGAACCCCCATATGATGCACACACCCTGCTGACTTACCTGCCTTGGCAGTGGGGAGGGGAGGGTGCTGCTGGTGGGTGGAGAGGTCCCTGGGCTGGGGGGAGTTGGGGGCTGGTGCTTCCCTCCACGGCAGCCTGACCCCAGGCAGTACCCGCTTGCTGATACATGGCTCGGGCAGTCCCAGGGGGCATTGCAGCCACAGAGGGAAGCACCGGTCCCCTGCGCAGCTCAGGCAGGCAAGCAGGCTGGGGGGCCAGGCAGGGGAAAGATCAGGCTTGCCACTTTTCTTGAGCAAAGCCTGTTTTCCCAGGCTGCTGCCAGGCCGCCAGCAGGGCTTCCTGCAGAGCCGTGGAGCTGCAAGGAGCCTGGTTCTTCGCTCCATGGCTGGTAGGGGCAGCAAACTAAAACTCCTCGAAGGAGCTTTAGTTTGCTGCGCCCCAAGACATTTAAGGCGCATTACGCCACCGAATTTCCTACAGTGGTTGGAATTAATGCGGAATACGCTGCCGAGGCATATAAACACCGACACCATTAAAGTGGTGCAAAAGCTTTAAGGTGTTGTGCACACACGCCTCTCATTTCATCTACACACAGCCTATGCCATCAACCTTTTTTAGACTGAAGGCACCATTGCATAGACTTGTGGTACCGTTTGGAAAATGTCAGCCCTTAGTTTCCACTCTTTTCTGTTTGACTACAGAAAAATAACAACGTTTCTGTCACAAAGAACTCAGAAAGCCCACAATTATAGATTTCTATTTGAAATTTCTGGTTTATTTTGTGAATCGTGCTTGCAAACTTAACAATATTAACATTGTGTGGTACCATGACACCCTGGTTGAGAATCAGTGACCTACACAATGTTTCATTAGCTTATTTTCAAGACTACTCATGAAAAAGACAAGAGTTCCAGACCTTTCCCAGATTTTACTAGATTCCATTTTGGCTCAGAGGATAAGAAAGATAGGCACCCACTATCCATCTAGACCTACCATAGTTAAAAAGAATCTTATTTATCTTTTAATTATGTAATTTTTGACATTTATATCCTGCTATGTCCAAAAGGCTTAGAGTGGCCTTACAACAAACAAACAGCCCATAGACAGGATTCCCAACACAACACCCAGCAACCCAAAAATTATAACTTCCTGCCCAACCACTGCTTCCCTGCCCAAACCCCCAAAAAACAAACCTTCCTGCCAATCCCAACCACACCTCCTAATTGCCGCTCACATCTAAATACAAGAAACCTCTTTGTACCTGCCAACCCCACTTACCAGTATTTCTCCTAAACCTTTGTTCCTACAAAATTAACACTACCTTTAATTTATTTTGGGTGACTAGATATCCCTGGTCCTAGGCTCATGAAGGGGATCAAGTGTGGATGCCTAAACAGTCCTCCTGTCCAGGATCTGGTCTGAGTGAAAGAATCAACTAAATTGACTGACCAGTGCCGTAGCAATGAAGTTTGGCACCCGGGGAAAAGCCCGCAGTGGCAGCCCACCCTCGCCCCATGCACAGATCTGGGGGGCTCATGCCTCCCTCCCCCCCATGCTTGCCCGGGAGTGCATGCAGCAGCAGGAGCTGCCCCTGCCCCATGCCCTGCCAAATGAGTTTCTCACGGCTCTGTCCTGGCTGGCTGGGCAGTACCTATTGGTGCCCCTTCACTTTGGCACGTAGGGCGGTGGGCCCACTTTGCTATGCCACTGACTGAGATCTACCACAGTGTACTCAAAATAATGAGGCAGCCAGCACACTAACTGTCAGGATCAAATGTTGCAGTTGTCATACAACGGCACCAACCACACATCTCCACCTGTTGCTAAGTGACTGATTAATAGAAAAGGCTAAAGAATGGACATTTAAATTCCCATACAAAAATGTTTTTTAAAGAGAATTAGTTGAATGGGATGTACAGATAACGACAAAAAAAAAAAAACCCTAAAGGTTTCTATAATTGTACTCTTGGATTGTGAAATCTTCAATCCAGCCACCACAAAGGTCTTCTACAGATTTCAAAATCTCTTTGCACATCTGTGCTTTAGTGCATTTTACCAAGCGGTCTGAATATCCATTTATAGAAAAGAAGAACTTCTTAATTTTCTTGTTTTTTTACTGAGACATTTGCTCACTAGAATTCTGCAAGCTTGTCTTGCACATTTTCACACAGGAAGAGGTGTTATATGACCTGCTTTCTTATGCGCTAAAGCGATTTATACACTTAAGCTGTATAAGGCATAAGTTGCATCCACGAGACATTGGGTAAGTTGTCTTTCATCTGGGTTTTTTTGTCTTTATACATTGATGGGTTGTTTACAAATGTCCTGACCTTAAAATTACCTGCTAAATCATTTTTCAGTGGATTCGATTCACCGTTAAAAATAAACATTGAGAAAACACAGACAGAGTGGAATGGAATAAGCTATTTTAAAAGGACATAACCACTACTAGTTTTCAGGAGAAAAACAAGGTAAGCAATGAGCAGATTTCTAGACATTGTATTGCACAATATGTAATGGAATTAGCTGTCTCTTGCAGTCAGATCAAATATGAAAGATTTTACTATAAGAAGTTGATACTAAATTGTGGCAGGGAAAAAAATATTTCTTTTTTAAAGGGCCATATTGGATATTAGTGGATGCTAGTAATGTCAGTCTAGTTTTACTGGCTACCATGGAGCTCTGTGATTTTATACAAGATCTAGATTTGACCTGATGCTCAGAAAAAACAGTTTAAAATATGATAAACTAAAATAAGCCTGTTTGCCGGCACACAGCATCAGTGCTCTGACCTTGCAGTCTTTCTAACTCAGGCAAAATTCCAACTAATGTAAGAAAATGCTGGTCTAGTGAAGATGGCATGATATACTATGCAGAGCTAAATGTGGAGCAAAGTGGATGACATTTCCCAATCAGTATATATTGTGATGGAAATTTGCCATCAAATATCAAAATATAAACCCCCTTCTATCATGAAGAGAGGAGAATCTGTTTTGCTAAAGTAGAAATATTGGTGTTGTAATTTAAAGACTGCAGGATGGAACCTGTTTACATGTATAATTTATCTCCATAGGAATGCCCTGTGTAATTTAGCTTTAATCTTCATTTTCTGCTGCAACTATATGGCACCATGAATAGGAACTCTGACTGCAGTTCATTTTTAAATATTTGGCACTTTCCTAGGCTGCATTCACAGTGATACGTGTGGAGGATAAAGCCATCCTCTGTACATAGCTACATTTGTTTCCTAATGAAATGCTTTGCACCAACAGATGATACAGGATGACACTGCTCTTTAAATGATAAGGAAACCTAGGCACTGAGAGATTAAATCACTTATCAGGTAGCAAAGTCAGATGACCCAGATCTTCCCACTTGCGGTCAAATGTGCCAGCTACTTAACTAGGGTGTTTCCTAGAACAGCAAAACACAGTGCACATAGGAATATTTTGTTTCATATTAGTAAATGCCAAAAGGTGGTTATCAGCATCTGATGCATACTCATGCAAACTGCAAACATAGACATGACTGCTTATGTGGAGAGACAGTCTGAAGCAACAGGAAGGCTAGTGGAATAGAGTTGGGCTACTGGGAAAATGTTACTGGAGCCAGGGAGAGAGAGGGAGAGACCAAGAGTTAAGGACTTAAATTGGAAGGAAGGAGACAAGCAGCAGGAAAGACCTGGGAGAAAATCTCAGCAGAGAACAATAAGAGCAAAAGAGACTCATACGGATGGAATGACAAGAAGAACCTCAGTGACAAGGAGGAGGTAGGGCCTTTCAGGAAGGTAGGTCACGATCACAGAGGTGGCTGGAGTTCGCTCTCCTTAGCAGTGTTCTTGAATCCTACTGGTGCCTCTGATTCCTATGCTTGTAGGAATGTATACTTGTACATAGAAATGTAAGCTATGAAAGGAACAGGTTAAGTTTTAGGGACCAGGCTACTTTTTGGAGAGGCTTCTTTTCTGAAAGACTGCTTCAGATTTTTTTTTTAAGTTTAGCACATCTGCATGAGCCATAGGCACTTCCTTTACCAACAAAACCACGCCCTGTTGCCATCTGTACTATGGAACCGTTGTTTTAGAGAGATAATACATAGAGCTTTCTGGAAACCAGGTCTCCTTACATTAAGGAGTCTGGAATTGTTTCTTCAAATATTGAAGCCCTACAATCACTCAACATTTTGGCCTGATCTGTATTCTCCCATAGAACTCATAAGTAGCAGTGTATTCATGATCATTTTCCTCACATACTTTAACAAGGTGATGAGAAAAGCAAAACAATTAGATAGACAGAAGCAGTTAATTTAAAGCGAGCTAATTTTTTAGGGGGAAAAGCCAATAATTTCCCTATTATGCATGATTATGGGCAGATCCAGGATTTTGTAAAGGAAGGTGCAAGAGCAGCCACCTGCATTGCAGGGCTGGCTCCATCCCAGCTCCCAGCTTGCCTCCACCTCACCAAGGCGGGCAGACCACACCATGGGCACAGCAGCTAGGGGCTTAAAAAAAATCCCAGAATCAGATAAGAACCCCACCCTGTACCTGCTCTTGGCAGCCTCCCCTTTCCCCTCCATGCTCAGCAGCATGTTTACTCCCTGCTCATTTCCTCCCTCCTGTACCCACCGTTGTATCTCCTGCTGTTGCTTGCTGTCCCATGTTGGGGTAAGATCCAGAGCCACTCCTGCCCCACTCTAGCTGGGTTGCATGGAGAGCCAGGCTGAGTAATGAGAACGGCAGCAGCAGTGGGCCAGTTCCCTCTCCCTAGGCCGGTTCCCAGGCTGGTGGGGAACACTTGGGGGTGTAGGAGGAACTGAGTAGAGAGGAGGATGAGGAACCCACCTGCTGCTGCCACAGAGACAATTTCCTTGAGGAATGCAAATGCTCCATTTGATACCATATATAGTTTCTTAAGGAGAGCCGCCTTTTTTCCTTAAATGTCTTAGCTACAGATGGGGTAAAGCTGTTAGTGGTTTTGCTTCCAGCGTTGGCCCCAATAAAGTACGCTTCCTGCTTTTTCTTAGTCAGTCTGCAAGACACTCTCTGTAGTTTATTAAGCTTGCAGACTCTCTCTTTCCTTGCTTCTAGTATCCTGGATAAACCTTAATTCTGCTACCATAAATTTGAAACTATTTGGCTTTTACAAGGACAAGTCTAGAGGCTTTGTATAGTTCCCTTATAATTAGGATCTCTTCTGAAAATGTAGACAAAGAATTAAAGTACAGTTAGTATTCCTTTAATTAATACTCTTCCCAATGGCCCTCCATTCCTTCTAGCAGGTAACATTTTACTTTCACCCCAATCAGTGTACTGACTCCTTTCCCTGTGGGGCCAAGACTCAGGTTGTGGCACTGCTTAACCAAAGTGGCAGACAGCTGCAAAAAACCTCCTACCACAAGCTGCCACCCAGGTTGTCACTTATGTTACCTGGGATACAGGTGTCTTGGTAGGTTGGCTACTAAAAAAGAACAGACAAGAGGCAGGTCTACAGCCTTTTTATTGTTTACACCCAGAAGACCAAAAATAAACACTTATCCAAGTAACTATCTGGCTACCTGTGACAGTGCAATATATGTTCTCAGCTAGAGATCATCTAGGGTGGGGAGACACAGAAGAGATGTGGCAGAGGGTGGCAGGACTGGCAGCACATCTTCTTGAATTTACTATGTTCTCCAAGTTACCCTCCAGTGTACACTGTATATTTATATATGGCTAATTTTAATAAACTATTCTCAGAAAACATAAGAAATGCCACTACTGGGTCAGACTATGGGTCTATCTACCCCAGTAACATGTTTCACACAGCAGCAGAGAGTGGATGCTGAGAGGGAGAGTGAACAGGCCATGCCCAGAATCGTTCATCCCCTGCCCCACTTGCTTTGCAGTTTTCAGCATTTAGTGGTTTAGGAAAGTCTGATTCAAAGGCTGCACTCTTATCTATCATGTTCAGTATCTACTGGTGGACCTTTCCTCCAAGAATTTGTCCAATCCTTTTTTGAACTGGGTTAAGTTACCGGCCTCCACCAATATTTTGTGGTAGTGAGTTCCACAGGTTAATTACATGCTTTGTGAAAAGACCTTCCTCCTCTTAGTTTTAAATCTACTACTGAATACCTTCATTTTATGTCCTCTAGTTCTAGTATGTTACGAGACTGTAAATAATAAATCTATTTACTTTCTCTGCACCATGTAATTTTTTGTAGACCTCAAGCATCTCTTTTTTCCTAAGCTGAAAAATCCTACCCTACATAATCTCTCCACATATAGAAGCGCTACCATGCCCCTATTCATCCTTGTTGCTTTTCTCTGTACCCTGCTTTACAGATCATTTATGAATCTATGAAATGGCACCAGTCATAACACAGATCCATGTTTATTTTTTTTTCCTTTTGAAAACTGACTATTTATATCCACTCCTTGTTTTCTTACCCTTAAGCCAATTTCTGATTCACAAATGGACCTGCCCTCTAATCACATTACAACCCAATTTGTTAAGAGTCTTTAAAATGTGACGGTGTTGAAGGCTTTTTGGAAGTCCAGGTATATTAAATCAACTGGGTGGCCCTAATCCACAGTCTTGTTGACATCCTCAAAGAAATGTAAGATATTGTTGAAGTATGTCCAACCTTTAGAAATGTCATACTGATTTCTACCCAACAAGCCTGGTTTATCCATGTGCTGGATGATTTTTTTTATTTTTTAAATAATTTTTCTATCAGTTTGCCAAGAACATAAGTTTGACTCACTGGCCTGTAGTTCCCTTTTTCTGCTCTGGAGCCCTTTTTAAAAATTGGAGTTATATTGGCAACCCTCCAGTCCTCCAATACCAATGCTGTTTTTAGTGATAGGGTAGCGTAATTAGTAGCTCTGCCATTTTGGACTTGAACTCCTTCAGGTTTCTGGGATGAATACTATCAGGTCCCAGTTATTTGGTACTGTTTAGTTTATCAATCTCCCCTAAACCTCACCTAATGATACCTTGATTTTGGTTAGTTCTGCTGACTTGTCCTTTTGGAGGAATAGGTCTGGTGAAGGAATCTCCCCAACATCTGCCATAGTAAAGACACTGTAATTTTAATTATTAAGTTATAACTTGTTTCTAGCAAGTTTCTCTTCAAATGGTCAAAATGGTCAAAAACAGTTTTACATTTGACTTTTTTTATGCTCTTTTTCATTTTCTTCATTTGACTTCTATCTTTTAAATGAACAGTTTTTTTGGCAGGCAGGGGAGGGGGGGTGTTCCCTTTCATAGCCTCCTTTATTCTGCCATTTAGCCAGGCTGGCTTTTTTATGGCTTGTTTTCAGTTTTTTTATTTATTTGTGGCACACATTTAATCTATGTTTCTAATATGAGGTTCTTCAGTTCCCATGCTGCTTGCAGACTTTTAGCCTTCTTTGGTCCCCCACTTAAACCTCTTTCTAATGAGTTTCCTCATATTTTATAGTTCCCCTTTTTTAAAGGCAAAAGTTACT